TACGTGGTGGACCCCGCTTTCGGCGTGGTCTACCAGATCATGTCCGCGGATCCGATCGGGAAGTCACGCCACGACGACCTTCCTGTGTACAGGGTCGCGTACTCGGAATGCGAGGACGACCCGTGCCGCAGGAAGTTCGTCTACAACGACTTCCTCTCCGCCAAGATTGTGAACATTTCCAGGAACCTGTCCGGGTACAAGAAGCTGAGACGGGCTCTAAGAAGGAACGAAACCCTGCCGAAGGAGCACCCGAACCTGATGCAAGTGGAGGCCAGTTTCCTCGACACGGGCGCGCGGGACTTCTGCGTGGTCATGGCGTTCGCAGAGTGGGGCTCGCTGAGGACGATCATGGCGGACCATTTCCGGCAGGGCTTCCCGGAGACGTGCATCGCCCTGGTCCTGAAACACGTCCTGGAGGGCGTGTGCTTCCTCCACGAGAACGGAGTCGTCCACGGGGACATCAGCGCGGGCCACGTCTACGTGCAAAGCGGCCCGAACGTCAAGTTGGGGTACGCGGCCACGGTGTACGACCACCGGGCCCGGGACCTCGAGTGCTCGACTTCGTCCTCGCTGCCCGAAGCCGGCATCTCGAGCTGGGCAGCTGCCCCAGAGGCGTACGGCCGCCGCGCCGGGACCACCGAGGCGAGCGACGTCTGGCTGGTGGGCGTTTTGGCCCTGGAGTTGGCTTACGGGGGGGATCCGGGTCCCGGACCGCGAAGCCCTGGGGGTCATGGTCAGGGGGATAAACGCGACGGGAGCGCTTCCCAAGGGGTCAGGAAGGGGGAAAAGGGAGAGTCGCGACGAAGGGGGAAAAGGGAAGGGGAAAATGGAGGAGACCGGAGAAGAAGAAGAGGAGGAAGAGGAAAGGACGTTTTCGAGGGGGTTCGAGAAGATGGTGGCTGAGTGCGTGGCGTGGGATCCCCGGGAACGGCCGACGGCTCGGCGGCTATTGGGGCATGAGTTCTTCAGGGAGAATGGGATGAAGGAGTCACTGCTGGAGGCTTACTTTGAGGAAGTTGTGATTGAGAGACTTAGGAAGTAGTGAATGTTTGGTGTGCCAATTGTTTGTTTGTATGTAGAGCTGAAAAACATATGATCAAAGAGACACAAATAGGTATCAGACTTGGATATGGAGTAGAATACATAATGTCAGTGTCACTGCCCAAAAAAAATGAAAATAATACACTTGTTTCCCTTGTAAATAAATGTGGTGTCCATAATGGAGTGCATCCATATAGAATTTCTAATTTTGTTGAGTCCAATAAGGAGAACTGTATGGATTTTTAATTGATTTTTGTTGAGAATTAGGGGCATTTGGTCTAAATCCAAATCCAATTATTTGGATTCTCACACATTTTGATCAAATCTCAACTTTGATTTAATATTTGTTTAGTTTTGATTTTTCGTAGTCAATATTTATGACCTTTCGCCATTAAATTAGATATTGATACAAATTATTAAATTTATCTTATAAAATATTTTTGAAATAATGTTTTACCTAATTCATATACAATGTTTTTTATTTAATTATAAATCAAAAATCCATTCTAGTTGACTGTATAAAATCAAAATTAAACAAATATTAAATAAAAAAGGTACGGAAAGATATTGACCTTTGAAGCTTATTTACATTTGTTCGAATCGTTTAACTACGTTCAACTCATTTGGAACGATTCGTTGTTCGTTGAACTAAATGAGTTTCATTATGTTGGACTCATTTGAAATGAATGAGTTGAACTATATTCAATAAATCTCTGTTCTCTGTTCTTTAGATGAGTTGAACATACTTCAACGAAATAAGTTTCACATAGTAAAACGAATTTCTCTCTAGTTGCTTCGCTCCTTCGCGTTCCAAAGCGCGCTGTCCTCCTAAGCGACCAACACTAAGTAATCCAAGCCAACCCACGAAATGAACTTTTTTAATTTCCTAGTGAGTATTTAAGACACCTCTATCTATTAAAGAAAATGATTTTTGCCTTCTTTTCTCTTTTATGCTCCTCACTTATTTTATTCCAAAGTATCCACTATAGTATTACCACTCACTTATCTCATTCACTTATTACCTAAGGGAAACCATTAGAAAGTAATATTCATTATGTTTATTAATATGAGGGATTTACTTAAATAGCAATAAACATAATGACTTTCTCTAAATAGCACCATATGTGGTTTTCTTCTCAATGTAGCACTTTTAGTCATTATGCATTATTCATTATTCAAGTAAATATTTGCTATCACAGGATATTATGGACATTATTAAGTTCTATTTAGGGAATAAAATAATTTAAGTGATATTTAGAGAAATGACTTAAATTTTAGTGTTATCTAGTTCAAATATTTCTATTAATATTTGTGCCCAATTAATTGAGTCTTTGTAAACCTTACTCCCTAATTAACATATCTAAATTTCTTTACACTATGTTTGGTTCAAGGAATTTTGAAAGAAAAGAAAAGAAAATGTTTTCTCCCATTTTCCTCACCAAAATGGGAGGAATTTGGTTTTCCATCCACTTGGTACATTTTGCTTTCTCATTCTCTTTTCCTTCCACTTTTTCTTTCTAACCAAACAAGAAAACTTGTTTTCCACTTCATTTTCTTTTCTTTTCTATTTTGATTTCCTTGAACCAAATATAGTGTTAATGAGTACCAAGTATTATTAACAATTTGTTCTCTTTTCAAAAAAACAATAAGTTACGCCGTTACGGAGTAAAAAAAACTGTGCTAACATTAGTTAGATTTATCACTTCCTAATTCTCTCCATCAGAATTTGACCAAACACGAGTAATTCTAAGGGTATATTTAGTGGTATATTCCAATTGTACACTATAAATTTTTATCATATTCCTTTCGTCTTAAATTAATCTTTCATTTTCTTTTTTTAGCAGTAGAGGTTTTTTGTGGGTACATTTTTCTTCTCTTCACCATATCACTTTCAATCACATGATATACTTTTACTGAACTTCGTGTAAAATCAAACTATGAGTATTAATTAATTTGGGATGGAAGGAGTATTTTTTTTATTCACTCATTAAATTTTTTAAACATGATTTGTGTGGCGGAGAAGCTTTATTAGGGTACACTTGAGATACATCTTTTAGTGTACCTTGAGCATTTTTATCAAACGTCACTCTTGCTAGAAAAGATGGTGTTGGTCTTTCCAGTAGTGACAGTGGTAAATATTGAATTAGGAGTATAGAAGTAAGGAGTATCAAATTAGGAGTGTTAGTCTATTAAGATTTTAATAGGAGTCGACAGTACTATCATCGTCAGCAGCTGTCACATTGTCATTTGCCGACTTCACAATGTCCTCACCTCAACATATCAAAGGTGGCCATATGAAGGAAAATGCGGTCACACAAGTGAAGGTCACCTCAAGACATTTTTAGTAATGTACATGGTCATATTTCGTAATGTAAATGCAATTTAACTCCTATTTCGGAAATAAAAAATGGAATTCCTATTTTAGTATTTTCAATATTTTGCTAATACTTAGGTCTTTTCTCCTAAATTTACATTATAACTAAATAAACTTTTTCCATAATTTAGGATCAAAGAGTGCTACAATTTGACCATAAGAATAAATCTATGATAATTCTTTAGGGACGGAGGAAGTATGTTATAATTCTTGCTTTAATTCAATTTAAATATTTATATATGGAGTATTTGATAATAAAATTGTATTTAATTCAATTTCACTATTGACTCTAGATTCAAGACTTTAATTAAAATTCAAATCTAAAAATATCGGAGTAGTTTAAATTTAGATTTGCGTGTTTAAATAAAAAATAAAGCCAAAATTCAAAAAAAAAGGTTAGGGAGTAAAAATTCAAAATTTTTACACTTTTAACAAAAAACAACATAACGAAGCTTAAGGAAAAAAAATTAAATGCGATCAGGATGAAGGATTTTGTAAAATACTCCCTCCGTCCCGCTATATTCGTCCACTTTTGACTTTTGGAACTGTTCATCTAAGCATTTTGACTCATCAAATTCTCTCAATGTGTAAGCCTAAATATAGTCATGTGTGATCTTGTTTGATTTGTCTTAACATATAGATTATTAATATATAATTTTTATAATTTTTTAATATACAAATTACAAGATAAAATGGATTAAAGAATTGCATTAGATGATGTGTAAAAATGAAAATGGACAAATACTCTGGGACGGAGGTAGTATAATTTATATTATTAATACTCATAAATTTAGGCATAAAATAATCCACATGTCAAGCTCCCTCCGTCCTATATCTTTCTTCCCGTTGCGCAAAACGAAGAAAAATCTCAAGTTTTTTCAATCTATTTTATTTAAATATTGGTATAGAAATAAAAAATAAAACATACATATTTAAAAATTACATAAAAAATTCAACAAAACAAGTGGTGACAAGAATATTTTATTTTATCATATAGGCAATGAAAAAACACAAATAAATATAAATTTCTGTGAAGTTGGAATAGTGCTCTGGGAAGAAAGTTTTAGGACGGAGGGAATAATGGAAGGGCATCCATGCCCTCTCAAATAGAGAGGTATGGGAGAAAATCCCTTATTTCTTACATGGTATCGGACCAAATTTTTTGCTCATGAAAAAACAAAGATCGACTTGATCACTCACATCTAAATTTTGTGTAACATAACATGTTTGTTAATATATTGTATATCTAAATAATACGCTGAGTAATACATCTAATTACTCACTCCGTCCGGAAATGTTCTTCCCGTGTTGACTTGGCACACTTATTAAGAAATAGTAAAAAAAATGTAAAATTTTCAAAAATGTACATACTATAAACTTTTGAATCTCCTTTTATTATTAAAAAAGTATTTAAAAAGTAGATTTGTGATAAAATAGAAGGGTATTATTGATATTTAGCCTTAAAAAACATACTAAAAAAGGAAATGGGAAGAATATTTTCGGACGAACCAAAAAAAAATGAGAAGAATATTTTCGGGCGGATGAAGTATTTCTAATAGTATGTATATTCACTAATACTTTTAGAACCAATGATGACATTTTAATTGGTGTACTCTATAATTCATGGCATTCCATGAATATAAACGTGTAGTAGATGCAAATGAAATGCATTTAAGTCTCATATTTACAACAATCTTTATATCACTCCATAATAAGCTACGAGCTTGACAATTTTTTTTGGAAGGGTATGATTAGGGGGAGGGGGTTGGGTTAATCACTTTCTAAATCTGTCAATCACAACTCGATCAAACAGAGCCTCCAACTCACCATTCTCCATCCCACACTCCGTGAAGAACTCATGAGTCAAAAGAACAGACGCCGTCGGCCTCTCCGCCGCGTCCCAAACCAGACAAGCCGCCACGAATTCCTCAAACTCCGGGCTGAACCGCCGCCCCTCCTCCTCCTCCTCCCCTCCTCCACCTTCCTCCGCTGCCGGGATCCTCCCGGGAAGCCTCCTCATCACGCTAATCCATCCGATCATCCCCCGGAGCGCTTCCCCGCTCGGGAGCCTGCCGTAAGCCAGCTCTAACGCGAGTATCCCGACCAGCCACACGTCCCCCTTCTGCGTCACGCAGTAGTCTTCCTCCCCGTTGCGAACCTCCGGGGCAGCTGCCCAGTCCGAGATCCCGACCTCGGGCAGCGCCCCGGAGCCCGGGCACCCGTGCTCGTACGCCGTGGCCGCGTACCCCAGCCTGATCCCCGGCCCCTCGAACACGTAAACGTGGCCCGCATTGATCTCCCCGTGGACGTCACAGCCACTGTGGAGGAAACTGACCCCTTCCAGAACCCTTCTCAGCACCAACAATATGCACGCCTCGGGCAGCCCGCCCGGGAACTGCTCTGCCATGATCGTCCTCAGGGAGCCATACTCTGCAAATCCCATCACAACACAGTAATCCCAGGAACCCATGTCCAGGAAATCGGCATCCACGTTCACGAAGCTGCTGTGCTTGTAGAGCAGGTCGTCGCTTCGCTGCACATCCACGTGCTTCAGCTTCCAGTAACCCGCTCTCTCCCGGAGGGAATTCACAATCTTGATGGAGACGAATTTGCTGTGGACAAACGATCTGGCGTGCGGGTTGTCGTCTTTGAGCACGGGCTCCAAGTAGGCTGCCCGGAACACGGGGAAGTTATCGGGCAGCGAAACTCCGATCCGGTCAGTGATCCGGTACACGTCGTGGGTCCCGGGGTCCTCCAGGAACTCTGCCTGTGGATGATGAGCTGATAATTGGAATGAAAAGGAGCTTGAAACCTCAGCTTGATCGCCTTGGGCTAAGTTATCTCCATTCAACCACGAGCTGAAGGAGGCACTCTTCTCTTGGGCTTGGACTGGTATTTCCACCACCGCTCTTTCGTCTGTCGTGCCTTGAAGCTTTCTGGGTCTTCTTTCTTCATCTGGCTTGCCTTCTTCGTCTTCCTCGTACGACAACTTTCTGCAACAAAAATCAGAACTAGACTCACTGGTTACAAAAGGGTTCTTTTTGGGAACAATGTTTCTCAGAATGGTGCAGATTAATTACCTCTTGGGTCCCTTGAAGCGGAGCTTGAATGGAACAGCAGAAGCTGGAGAAGGGCTGTACAGAGAAATGCAGAGTACAAATGTGCACAAAAAAGAATTGGATTATAATGTGATTCTTACAAGAAGCAGTTTGACAAATTCCATACCTTTCGGGTACGTCGAGTCGGGGTCTGAGGGAACCGAGATTCGAATCAGGTGGCTTGTAAACACTAGGAATTGAACAATTGGATGAAGTGTGAGTTAATGTTGCAGAAAAAGAAGAATAATGTTCAAAAAAATCCTTTTGAAGTGCCTAAACCATATACCTTATGGGAACAGGTGATTCTGGTTCAGTGGAGCCCGGGATGGAAATGTGAGATTTTTGGTCCGTCCTTAAAGAACCATAGAGATTAAATGTACACATACAGTTTAGGATTTAGAATTGAACTCCAAACTTACTGAATTATATTTGATCATTTCAGGTTTAATTGGTTACCAGTTAGTAGGCTCTAATGCTTTGAACTTTTTCATCTTTAGAATCAGAACGTCTTGGAAGTGTGACTTCAACTCCCACCTCTTCAGCCCTTTTTTGCATAAGAAACCATGGTTCAGAAGGGCATCAACGGAAGGCCTTGATTCCGGGTTCCATGCCAGGCATTGTGCCACAAAGTCCCCAAACTCCCTGGAAAACGAAGACCCTTCTTCTTCTTCTTCTTCTTCTTCGAAATCTGTCCTCTCCATCTTTGCCTTTCCCTTGATGTCTTCCCTGCCCGCTGCTACTGCCCGATGCTGCCCCTCCGGTCCGAGCTTCTTCGGAAGCCTTTTCGTCCCGGTTATTGTCCTGATTGTCATTTCCAGGGCTTCGCGGTTGGGGACTGTGACCCTTCCGTAGGCCAGTTCCAGAGCTGTGATTCCAACGAGCCAAATGTCCGATTTCTCGGAGTAGCGGTGGCCGTTGTATGCCTCTGGGGCAGCTGCCCAGGTCGAAATCCCGGTGGCGGGCAGGGAAGAAGAAGACGAACACTCTGCCCGGGAAGCGGAAGCCCCGTGCTCGTAGAGGGTGGCCCCGAAGCCCAGCTTGATTTGCGGGCCACTCTTCAGGTAGATGTGCCCGGCGTTTATGTCTCTGTGGAGGTTCCCGGCGTGGTGGAGAAATCTGACGGCCTTCAGAGCGCATCTCAGGGAAACGGAAATGCAGTCCTCCGGTAGCCCGTGGGGGAATTTGGCGGCCATGGCTGATCGGAGAGAGCCGGGCTCGAAGAACGGAATGACGATGCAGAGGTCGCCGGTGGCGCCGTCGACGAAGAGGGCCTCAATTCGGGTCAGATTCTTGTGGTCTCCGGGCAGGTTCAGGTTTCTTGAAAGGGTTTCGGGTACAGGGGAACCGGAATTGACGGCCTTCATGGCGAGGAATTCATGGGTGACGAAGATCCTTTCGCCGGAAGTCTCGTGGACGACGGAGTAGGCGACTCTGTACACCGGAGAGCCGTCGGAGTCTCTGCCGATTGGGTCGTCGGACATGAACTTGTAGACAATTCTTGAACCCCAGTTCACCAGGTAATTCGGACGACGGGAATTCTCCATTGTTGCCCGAACTTCTTCTCTAAACTCTGAGATTCAAGAATTGGTTTTTCTTCGTCAATCAGAATTCAAGAATGGATTTTTTTGGGTCAATCAGAATTCAAGAACGGGTCTTTTTGGCCATTTTAGCGCACAGAGAGAGAAGAAGGGTTCGAAGACAGAGATTAGCGGGAAATGGGGAAACAAGATAAACTAGAGTACCGTTGATCCACCTGACTGGAATCTCTAGCTTATATCCTTATTATTCCACTCTAACAATAGTTAGTGAATACTTAATCGAATAATAAAGTTTTAGTTTGATATTCATAGGGTCAAATTTAATTCATTTTTTGATCTATCTTCATGTCCTATTTGATAAAATAATATAGTAATATCACATCTAATTTGTTAGATCTTTTCATATAATTTTTAAATATATATTTTTTATCTTTTAATTTTATATAATTTTTTACATAAAATAATTTGAAAATAACTTCAGTCAAATATCATAACGCACAACAGTCAAACTTTGCTTTTAAATCCAAGAGCGAAGTGTTTTGAGAAAACCGAAATGAAAGTAAATACTCGTAATAGTTATATATAGTTGAGTGAAGAATAATTAAAAATCAAATGTGGATGTCGGATAATATTTTTATATTGACGTATTATATTAAATGTCGAATTAAGATGTTTTAGTTGTTGTTAATGGAATTTTAAATTTTTTAATTTAATTTTTGGTAGTAAAAGTTTGATAAATTTGCATGCTCGATTCTAATAGTCGTAGAATAAAGCAATCAAATGTAGATTTTAATTACTTCGTATTTAAAAATTGCATGTTCAGTTTGATACGGAGTATTAAAATAGAAGTAGAAATGCATAAAGATAAACAAAATTGAAACTTGGTATATTTTAAGTTCACTAAACATATATTTTTGAAACTTGGTATCTTAGACATCAAAATTTATATTTTTTTTCTCACGAAACATGCCCTAAGTATATAATGGATGCTTTTGGAAAGAGTTACTCCGTAACATTTTGAAGAAATGAACTAACGTCATAGTTTAAGGTCTCGTTTAGCATCACCGTTAGAGATTTGCGTTAGCATTTTGAAAAGATTATCTGATGGTAGCCTTTACCGTTAGCATTTCCAGAATTAATCTGCATCATTAAAATTTATTCCAAAATGCTAGCGCTAATCGATACGATATTCTCAAACAAGGCCTAAGTGTATGGTAATATTTTCAGGTCTCAAAAAATGTGTTATATTTTCGGGTTAATAATACTCCCTCCGTCCCCAATTTGATTACAAATTGCGGGTTACGGAGTAAAATTTCCTACTTTTTGAAATCATTTTATTTACAAACTGGTATATCAATAAACTATAAAAATTATATATTAAAAAACTACATCAAAAGTTTTACAAAACAAGAGGTGACAAAAATATTTTATTTTATCAAATACTTGATGAAATCGCGTAAACAAACAAAAGTTATCGAGAGGAGAGAGAAAAAACGATTGTAATCTATTTAGGGACGGAGGGAGTATATACTACTACGTACTTTTAAAATTTTATTTAAAAGCACTTTCGGAGTGTCTCGAATAAAGTACACAATTGATAACCTACAGTTTTTTTTTTAGAAACAATAACCTACAGTTAACAATACAGTCCGTCAATACTTCACATGCATTTAATTCACTACTTTATGAAATTCTATTAAAAGTCCATATTAGTTGTGAATATTTCCGATTTTAAACACTAATATTATAAATGGCAACTAAGATTTTTACAAACTTTGGAATATTGTTACTTTTAATCATTTGTTAGGCACTCTTTGAGAATAATATTTTTATTAACGTTAAGATATTTGATCCATTTTATTTTTAATTCAATTTATTTGATTGTAGGTGTAAAATTTAAAAATAAAAATTACTCCCTCCGTCTCAAAAAGTCTTTCTTGTTTACTATTACGGTCTCTCGATAACTCTTATTTATTTATGTATTTTCATTGAACATTTGATAAAATAAGATATTATTGTCACATCTTATTTTGTAAAGTTTTCGGTATAATTTTTAGATATAATTTTTTTATGTGTTAATTTTCTTACCAATTTGATAAAAAAATTTTAAAATCCACGAGGTTTTGTTTATTAATTTTAAAATACACGTATGTTCTCTTGGTGACACTCTGATTTGATAATTATAATAAGGGCAATGCTAGGGGTACACCAACATGGGCAGAGGCGGATCCAGGAATTGGAAAGCATGGGGTCCTGTTTGTTGAATTGTAAAGATACATTTATACTATGTTATTATTCACACGCAATAAAAAATAAACTAAAAAATATATTATTTAAATAAATATTCAAAATATGATTCTCAAATGGATTTTTTAAAGTCATAACTTCTACACCTAAGATTTTTTAAAGATAAAATTCACTAATAGGATACAATGATTTTTTGTAAAAAGACTCAAATTAAAACAAAAGATTTAGACACATCCATAATCCTTCTTTATCACACCTTGAAAAATGAAAGTAAATTGTAAAAAGAATACAAATAAAATGAAAAGTATATTTGTTTAAGTATTTTTTAGGAAAAGTCTAATTCAAAGAATTTTAATAAATATTTAATATTTCTGTAAACTAAAAGTCTATTGAAGAAATACGTATTATACAAAAATTACTATCTCAAAAAATACAATAAAATATTTAGCATTAAAAATGTTTTTTTTAGAGAATTAGAGCACTTCAGGATAAAATTGAGGACATATCCATAATATAATCCTTCTTTACGAACTTTAAAAATGGAAAAATATTGTAAAAAAAATACAAATAAAATGATCGAAAAGTAGGTTTGCTAGATACAGAGTATTTTTTTAGGAAAATACTAATTAAAAGAAATTTAATAGGTATTTAATATTTATTTAAACTAAAAGTCTAATGACGAACTACGTATTAATATTTAATACAAACATACTACCTCAGAAGATACAATAACATATTTTGGGTTAAAAATGTTTTTAAGACTACTTGAGGATAAAATTGAGGAGCATAAAAATTATAAACATGGAGGAGTCAAGAATCGAACAATTGATCTCCTGGCTTAATGTCCAGCCGCGGGAGCTTCCGTTGCACCATAAGGTGATTTGGTTTCACCAAGGCTTTGTTTGTTTATATACTAATTATATCAAGTTACCTAATATATATAAGATCCTACGTGGAGGTCCGTGGGGTCCCGGAACCCCGTGGGACTCAACATAGGTCCGTCTCTGAACATGGGGTACCCCAAGTATACACCAAACCAACACAGACACAGAATGTCTGTGTTGCACAGACATTTTGTGTCTGTGTGTATCTGTGTTGACTTGGTGTACACTTAGGGTATCCCATGTTGGTGTACCCCTAGCTTAATTCTTACTTCGTATAATAATTATTACTCCGTACTATGGTTGCGGTGTACGGCACTCATGTATAAATGTAAGGAGATACTTCGAATTAACAATTACTCCATCAGTAACAAGTTAACAACTTTGTATCTAAAACATCCCACACAAAAAAATTCAACCATACTATTTTATAGATTACATTCAAAACTGGAGGTCAGCAAATATTGAAACCATAATAAGTCAACAATCAAATGGTAACAGATTTCTTTTAAAGAAAGTGACAATGGGTAATATATACTTCATTTTTCCTTTGCATCAATTACACAATTTTTATTTTCTTAATCCTAGAGCTGGTCACCAAAAGTTGGGCAGAAGTACTGAATGTATTACAAACAAATTGCAAGACAAGTACTCTTGAATCCCATCCCTCCAAAATTTCATTTGCATGTGTCTATAGAAACAGAAGGAAAAGACTGAAATGGCCAACAAAATGCGAGCTAAAGATAACGTAAAAATAGAGCGCAACGAATTCTAGTTTCCTTCGACCAATGCCAATTGCAAGGCGTGCTCGGCCTCCCTGAGGAAAAGGCGCGTGAGCTGTTTCTGCCCTCGGCGGTACACTATACTACACCAACTGTTTCTGCTCATTTTTCTGCAAGATGAATGGTGCAAGGAATTTGGCAGTTCATATCTACTCCCTCCATTTCATATTAACTGTCTATTGACACTTTATTGGTACATTAAAAAATGAACGAATGTAGACATAAAGCATGTCTGCATAGGGAGTAGTTTTTGTGTGAAATTGGCGCTCATAGGAGTAAATGGCAAGAAAAAAAAGTACTTTACACACAACATACCCTTCGTTCTCAACTGAGTCATCATCTAAGGAGGAGCAGCCTCTGTGTAGTAATTCGGTGTCATTCTCCTCGCTCCCAGAACCCTCTTCAAGATCCATCATCCTAGCACAGGTATAATCATAAAGATGAAAGGCATATATTAGCCACAGAGGTCGAAATGGTAAAACGTACATACTTTACAGTCAGCCACTAAAATATATGATACGGAGTAGCCTGCAATTTTAACTTTGGCCATGAATGTAGTTTCAAAGCATGGGGGAATTACTTCACATGAAGCAGATCAACAAGCATTTGCAAGGCTCCAGAATCACCACACGCTTCCCAAATTGCTGCTCGAACTTCCGCGTCAGATGGTTGGCTATCACTTCCAGGTGAAGAAAGCTTTGTAAGAAACAAGCACTGGATTAATTTAAACACCACTCAACTATACTCCCTCCGTCCCAAAAAAAGACTCCCACTTTGACTTGGCACAAAGTTTAAGAATAATGAAAATGTGTGGTTGAAAGTGATGTAGAGGAGAGAGAAAGAGTGTGAGCCACTCAAAGTTTTCCTTAAAAGGAAAGAGGGACGTCCCAAAAAGGAAATAAGGAGTCTTCTTTTGGGACGGAGGGAGTATAACATTGTGCTTATGATGAAACAAAAGTCCATTTAAAAGTAAAACTATTACCCTGCAAAAATGAAACTAATTCATCTTATGCGGACTTATTGATTACTCCCTCCACCCTATATCTTTCTTGTCGTTTTCCTTTTTTAACCATCCTATATGTTTCTTCCAATTTCCTCAAATGGAAAGACTATTCAGCTTTTTTTTACAACTAAAAGGCTACTCCATCCTTACTTTTGTACAATTCACATTTTTAACATCTTTCTTCAACTTACTACACCATCAAAGGTAAAAATGAAAAGTCAAATATTTTTCATCTTACATTAAAAAAGTGTGCCATGTAAAAAGCAAAAAGATATAGGATGGAGTGAGTAATTGAAAAGCAAACACCCCTCTGAGTCCATCCAAATCATTCGTCACAAGATCATACCTCACTAAATAGTGAACTAAGAGCAATAAAGAGAGAAAACAAACCTCACTAAGTAGTGATGTGACCTTATACAGCTCGTCTTCTTTCATTGCTATAGTTCTCAAGGCAGTCATAAATTCTTCAGGGAAAACAAGCCTATTCAAGTAAGAAGGAATCTTGCGCTCGCCGCTCCAACTATAGTTTTTCATTTGATTACTTGGCTGTTTATCATGGTTTTCTGTTTGAGGCATGCATGGAGGAAAAAAACCATTTTCCAACAAATTTCTTGGTAACAAACACCTCAACTCCGCTTTCTGATGACACATAGAGAGTTCTTTACGACATTATGATGCAGGTAAATATTAAGACGATAGAGAGGAAGGGGTAGTAAATGTCTTCATCGTGCTGGAAAACTCGCACAAAAAAAAACTATTCCCTCCGCCCACAAAAAAAAGTCCAATTTCAGAAAGATACAAATTTTAAATTCTATGAAGGTACAACTATTGAAAATCCTCAAATACTACACTTTAACCTTTATTTTGTAATTTAACAAAATGTAACACTCTCGAATTGACTAAGACACTTTTTAGATAAAAAATATTATCAAAATTACTTTCTCTTGTTCATATAGGACTCTTTTCTAGGACAAAAATAGTAGATGGGATGTTTCTAAACGGATCTTTTTTTTATGAATGGGGTGTACAAAGTTTGAATGTCGTATTAGATGTTTTCATTTTGTTAAAAAAAAAGAATCATAGCCAGAAACAGAAAGAAAACATTGATTGCCTGTGCTTGTAGGAGGTGTGATTTGGACTCAGAGTAAGGTATGTCCTGAATGGCCTCCACAGGGTAATTAACCTACATTGTAAAATATGAATGTCAAACTAATACACATTGTTTCAATACTTTACATATATGCCTCAGCAGAGCAAGCTGACTAAGACAAAGGTCTGAGTGGCTGACAACTGCTATTCAGATCAATCAGTTTCCTTTTCATTGAGAGTTTGGGCAAAGATCCATCTATTACTGAGAACTATAAAGAAACTTTTCTGAAATAAAGCAGACTTGAGAGGGTTACCATGAGATAGTCATCGGGATTATCTTCCGTTACAAATCCATACAGGTACAGGAGCTCCTGCAACAAAATCCATGGCTTAATTGTTTGCTAATCAAGATTTATTCAAAATGTAAATCTGATCTGAAACTTGAAAACGAAATAATATGTATACATCATTAACTCTATCGACAGAAAAATAATCACTGTTGTACATGGAAGATAATCACAGACGTTTGTTAGAAGGACAACCCCACAATCAAAAACAAAACCCAATATAATCCAACTCTGTTGGGGTTTAGAAGTTAAGATGTATGCAGCCTTACCCCTATTAAAGCAGAGAGCTTGTTTCCATTAGAATTCCACAATCATAGAAAAATAATTACTCTCCCTGTCTCATTTTATTTTGCACATTCGACTTTTCTTGGTCAAACTTTGCAAACTTGGATTGGATTTTGTGAGTAAAATACATTTACATATAATGTTAATTTAATACCACTAGATTCATTTGTGTTTTGAAGTACCATTTTTTATTATACTCCCTCTGTCCCGTTGTGTTTGCCCACTTCTCTTTTTTGGGTTGTCCCAATGTATTTCTCCATTTTCTTTATATGGGATATGAGTACAGGATTAGTTTACCATTTTGCCCCAACTATATTACATTTATTCCTCCTCAACCAAACCTGTTTTTTTTCTATATGTGCAAAAATGCAAGGGTATAATGATCATTTCTCCAATTTAATTCTTTCTCCCTTGTCTACGTGCAACAAGCAAAGTGGACGAAGACACCGGGACGGAGAGAGTATTTATTCATGTACAAATATATGGAGTAGTTATAAACAGTTAAAGCAGTACATTGAACAATCTGAAAAGTCATTTGGCAAAGTAAATTGAGACGGAGGGAGTATCCTCTATCTTTAGCTAGTTTGAAGTGCTACAAGCCTACAATCCCCCTCAAACTGAGAAAAGACACGCTTAAGTGATACAATGTTTCTTTTTATCTTCCTGCCAATGCAATGACTTTCAATCTTGACAAGTTTCGTCCTATCATATGATGGATTGGCAATAGTTTCTGCCAACCGATTATCACATTACATCATAATAGGAACTGAAATGCAGATCTTTAGTTCAGTTGGACACTGCTTTAACCAGATTTATTCACAAAAATCTTGAGCTAAAACTCAGAGTTCTGCTTCGGCACCTGCTGCTTTTTACGAGAAAGACCCTGAGGTTGATCTTCAATGAATCAGAGACCCAGCCTAATCTGAATTCTGAATCTGCATAGACTTTTAAGGAAAGCCCAAAGTTTTTTTGTTGAGTATTAAGCCTTTTCCAGGATCTTACTTAAGAAGTAAAGATGTCTAATGATTAGGTGCACTGCCTCCAGCTGCTCTTGTGATGCATTACTCAGAAATTGACTAACACTTACTGCAAAACTTATATTGTCCCTTATCCACTGTAATTCAGATAAGTTTAAAGAATGCAAATTGTATTAAATCCTTCAATATAGGATTTGTTAAATAAAAAACAAGCTAATCATACGTCCATTGCCCATGGAGGTATAAGAGCCATAGCTTTGGGTAAATAATGGACTAAATCAAAATGGCAAATTGAATTTATTTTGCTTCTCACTTTCTATGAAGTTTTGGGTAGTAAATACAACAAGGGTCTACCTTAAGGCATAATAAATCCCTCGGAAATAAAAAGTCCATTTGTACCTAGCTGTTTTCTTTCAAGGTGTAGTCAGGAACCATATGTTATTCTTCTCAAGGGCATGATATTCTTTTAACGTAGACACTTTCAATTCATGGAATTTTAATTGTTCATGAACTGTTTTGGCCTTTATGGGATCTGAATTCCGTCTTCAACAGTCAGGAACGTCCTGTATTACTGAGAGAAATGTGTGCATGTCTTGTAATTGCTCATATGATGCAAAATACATGAACAAACACCCTTCCTTACTTTCTTTGAGCAATGTGAATGTCTAGTTCCTAATTATACTCACTAACTTTCTTAAAATCATATTTTGATTTAGATGAGCAGGTGTATCAAATGAGACCTCTTCAGCACATGGTAAGCTAAATGACTTAAATGGCTGAACCTTTAGCTGGTACATGTGGACTGGATGATGATGGTGATCTTGATCAGGTATGATAGAGAGGATTGGGTTAAGTCACATAAAAATGAGTTAATGAGAGAAGTTTAGTCCCTGTTTTGTGATTCATTTGTGTTACTCAGCCGACATTTCACAAAAGGCGGTATGGCCAAAAACATGAATGTGAGTTGATCAAAAAGCAAGAAGTGTTTGAATTGTGGAAAGTGGAAGCATTTAAGATTTGTTTGGATTGAAGGCGCAAGTGGATGGAAATTCTAAAATTTTGTGAAAGTGTGTTGAAAAGTTTTTGTGTAACAATTTTTCTTCAAGACCACCTTCCATTTTATTCTTTTCAAATCCTGAAGGGAAAAGAAATCTGAAGTCAGAAATCTGCACTATCTATAGTTATTCTGCATCACTTGCAGCTTTGCTGTTACACCTGCCACTCTAAGTCAAAATAATATGGAGTATATACCAACAAATAGATGACATACTAGATGAACTGAGTAAATTTAGAGGTGGCTATGAAAAGGCTAGTGTTTGTTCTTCCACAATGCTTCCACACATGGACTGGGGAAATTTTAGAGGAAAAATGAAAAAAGAGAATCTGATAGAAGGGAATCAAGAATAGACAAAGACTAAGATGTAATAAGAACTTACCCTTGGTTTTTTTAACAAATTAGTCCGTTACTTTTAGAGTTTTTAAACATTCAAACCCATCTCATTTCTAAAAATCACGTGGTTGTCTCCCAAGTGTGCCCACATGTCCCAATATTTCAAAAACAATGACACTTTTCAAGTGGTCCACCTAAGAAGTTACTTTACCTGCTTGCCACTTTTGAAGTGTTTGTGCTTCATAGCCTCATAGGTAGTGAATTGTTTGGGCCACCCAGAGCTATTCCATTAATGGTTATGGTAGCACGCTTTGACACTTTTGAATAGTTTTGTTGGAGACGATCCCCACACACCTCCAAGTTTCAACAGCCTTTTTGAGAAGTATTATTCTTTGTTTTGCGACATAGGATGTGGTTTTAAAAAAAATTACCATGACCATTTTTCTTGAACTTATCCCAACTATTGGACTTGGACTTGCCTACATTGTTGGTTGTTGCACTTCACCTTTCTTGGTTGGAACATTGATGATCTTCTAGTCAATTGGTGTATCAGTCGCACCAAGTAGGTCTTTGAAACCATGTCCCAACTCAGCTTCAGGTCATGGTTGTATTCCGGAAATGAAGAAAAGCTCATCTAGTTCACCCATATCCAGTTTATCCAACAAAAGCAAGATGAACCCCATCACTTGACGTGATATGATTTGTTTGCATATATATTTCTGAAAAATTGTGAGTAGAATATCAACCCCTCTATCACAATTTCTAGCTCTGCCACTAAACCCATACATGTATCCAAATCAACCACCTTCTGCTTCATTACCAGAAGCCTGGAAATAGGATGAGGTTCTGGAAAATTAATACTCTCTCCGTCCCAGAATTATCGCCTCACTTTGAACAACATGCACAATCACATCTCTTTTAAAACTATTTTGTTTACAATTTGGTATGGAAATAAAAAGTAAAAATTACAAATATTTAAAAACTACATCAAAAATTCTACAAAATAAAAAGTGACAAGAATATTTTATTTTATCAAATGATCTACTTAAAACATGCAAACTAAAAGTTATCGGTAGGCCTGAATAGTAACTTTGACAATAATCCTAGGACAGAGGAAGTACTAAAGAAAATGTAGGCTACCAAAAGTTTAAAGAATAGAGTACCTCATTCCCTTTGTTTCCATAGCTAATTAATATCTCGTTATCACTTTTGAAAGGACCTTCTTCAACTTTGGATTCAAACATAAAATAACATAATTGAGAAAGATGTCATCAGCAAAAGAAAACCAATGTAGGACCTCAAGCACTACCAACTCTTCTAAAACCAATTGGTGTTAGAAGAAGCGCATAAACTAATTTAACAACCAGTACATCAACAATTGCTTAAACTAATTTATCATCTAAAGTTTTAAAAAAATGATAAGGAGTACTAACAATCAAAGAAAAAAATTAACAAAATAAAGAAAGGGCGATACCTGAAGAAAGGTACATAGAATATGGAACTCCACTTGTCATTCCAGTTCCATCAACTTCCCATGTCGCGTTGGGCCTTACACCTGAGCATAATTACCATTTACCATAGCAAATCATAAGCATGTGAATTTTTGAAACCCAAATTATACATATTGAACAGCTATAAGCAGCTCAAAACAAAGGAAACAATAGTAATTTCCTAAATTAGTGTAACTGTAAGTAACAACACCACAGTTCTTTTGACACAGGGGCACTAGTGTTAGATTTTAAAGCATGATGTAATATTTGATGTAGTGTTACACAATCTCGTTCACACAGATTTCGGTATCATAATAGTATATTAGAATGTGATAGGGGCCCTAACGTAAGGTTGAAGTGTGTGAATGAATATTTTTAACAGTACCAAATATTACATCGGGCTCTACAACCTAACTTTTCTCCCACTTAGAGATTGATCTCGTCAATCAAATTCTGCATTCTCTCTCTTGTTTTTTAGTGTTCTTCACACCTTCATCTTGATCGCATGTGTGAGTGGTCTTAACACCTACAGTGCACTGTTGGGCACCAGACCCTACCCCCAACCCCCCAAAAAACCTCAACCCCTACCCCTGGCTGATACTGATCCCAGTCCCTGTAGAAAACTGACACCCCCCCCCCACCAACTTGGACCCCTGAAGCCACCCCCGGCCCCGGACTCAATAGAGCACCATAGGGCCTCAAAATGGCTCGACATCATAATATCAAATGAGTGATGGTGTCAAAAAGACCACGCTGAAGTAACAAATTACTAAATGCACACGTTAAACTACATAATGTCACAATCTCAAATCCTAGTCTCACATGCACAGTTAACACACGTCGAGCAAGTATACAAAAAACCATAGTAACGATTACATTATGGCAATCATAAGTGCAACTTACCGTGGTTGCAAAAATCAATGCCTGGAACAAGACCTTCTACCCACACTGTATCTTCTATAGATTTAGATGCAATAGCGGTTCCATTTCTTGAAAGTTCATCGGGCTCAAGTTCTGGGGTAAGGTGGTACTTAGTATATCCAGAAATAAATTCATCAACTTACTAGAGTTAAATGCTGTTTTCCACAGCATGAAGTCAGAGCATGCATATGAGGGAGAAAAGGCCTGAATAGCAAATGCAGTGGACTGGGACATCACTTTGATACCACTCTTTGTTATCCGATTTGTCGCTACAAATATGATTAGTAGATGTCTAAGAATCTCCGAGTTTCATGAAGTTGTTCTACCTTGTCCTTCTGAACTTGTTGGAAATACATAGGAATGTGGAAGAGGTATATTTTGTGCTCGACTCCAAAATACAGAATTTGCCCTAAGATAGATATAATTTTTGCAACATAAGTTGGTTGTCTTGTGATTATACTTGAGCATTACAATAGCACATCAAAAATGAAGAGCCAAAATCAGAAAAAGGAGAGGAAGCCGCTGAGAAAGAAATGTACCACAAGAAGTCCTCAAAGGTTATTTTTCTGTTAAAAGTTAAGAACAATTAAAAGATAATCAAATAGATATCATTTGTAAAATTGTGAAAATAGATTCAGCAAACAATAAAATGACTTTTGATCGCTTGGTGATGATCATTGAAAAACTGCACACACCTCCCAGGGAATCCATCAAGAGTCAAAAGTTCCTCAGCCAGCTTCTTCATCTTTTCATAAAAAAGATGGTGCAGTTTTTGCTTCTGGAACATAAGCATGCATTCAGTCATTTATGATCGGCCAAAAATGTTAGATTGCAATCAAGCATTATTATTCAAAAAAGTACATATATACAGAGCAAGTTCCAAACACCTGAATCGTCAATCATCATACTGTGAGTCATCATCCTTAGACTTAATGGTTGGAACTTGGACAAATCTAACCATAATAGCAGTATGTAATCTTAACTGCATCATGGCATCACGCGTAAAGAAACAATACCTGCAAATCAGTTGCCCGATACAATGTAGTCCCCTTCAGCTCAGAAAGTTCATCATCTGTAAACCAAAGTGGGTTCTGGAATTTGGTAGGAAGAATATCAAAATACCTATTAAGATCATCATATACCATTACTATAATATATATACATACAAGGGCAAAGTTACAGTAAAAATGTGAAAAATGCTTAGCATTGCTTACGGTTTCCAAGAAGAGTTCTTTCTTAGGCGTTCCACCATCAGGAACAAAATAATCAAGAACCTGTCATCCACTTCCTCTTCCTCATACATTGCCCGACAGTGAGGTCCAAAAAGAGGATCTTGAAGCACCCTCATAGGAGTTATACTTAAATCAAGTGGAACCACCAGCTGTATCCCTGAAATTTCCAACACCACCAACAAATAAACAGCATTCAACTTTAATTCATATAATAATATCAAAAACATCTTTTTTCAGTTTATGCCAGATAAATGCTCATAGGAGTTATACTTAAATCAAGTGGAACCACCAGCTGTATCCCTGAAATTTCCAACACCACCAACAAATAAACAGCATTCAACTTTAATTCATACTCCGTATAATAATATCAAAAACATCTTTTTTCAGTTTATGCCAGATAAATGTTAGCAATGTGATAAAACTATAAAAGTAAGAGACTCCCATCATTGGATCACAACATGCAAGAGAATGGGGAAAATGAAGAGAATGCAGACTGATAAGAGAAACTTTTTTTGAAGTAAAAAGAAACACATGAAGACAAAAATCATCATTTTCAGATCAAAATCATCGCCATTAACTGGCATTTGTTGCTGGGTTTCACATTACAAAGCTCAAAATATTCACTTTTCCTTTTTTCCAGCCACTTTTAAATATTCCAACAATCAATATAAGGGTTTGATGCAGCTTATTAATTTAATAATCATCGTCAATTAAAAAAATTCCCAGAAAAACTGCACTGAAATTACCATCACAGATATTTTTAGAGTAAAAAATCCCAAACCCTTTGTTCGAATCGCTGTACTTGATACTGCAACCGCGTAGCTGGACGTTATTCAACTGAAATGAGAAGTTGTAATCAATTGAAGCAAGAAATCCAAGAATATTTCACAGAAGCTTGTATAATCAGTATTTGTTTACGGATAGAACGAAAAAACAAACGAGAAAGTGAACAATGTATGTAAGCCGTCTTATACATGTAGCCATTGGAGAAACCGTTGGAGGTTAACTTCAGGTCCATTCGCCATTGTTTCGCCGCGCTGCACTGTAGAAATTGTTTCGTCGCGCTGCTCTGTGCAGCCCGGCCCTGGCATTGGTTGGGGTCACTTCCGACGGCTAGACCCTTGGATTGGGTTTGGGATTAAAAATAAACAAATACGGAGTAATCTAAAATGCAAAATGCTAGATTGCTAGGTACTACCCCACAATAATAAATGTGAATAAAGAACAAAATGGTTCTTTTGGCGCTTGAGCATCGCGTCAAATTATGACCGAGGTCCTTACGGCGCTTTATTCGTAAAATTGATCGTTCCTATCTCTCTAAACTTCCTCCAAAACTCTACCCTGCCCTTACCTGTCCAACCCACCACAGCACCCCCTGCCCTCCTCCCCCAAATCACCGGTTGGCTACAGTAATAAGAGGCAGTAGTTAGATCAGTAGGAATCATCAATTTTACGAACGAAATACCGTATGGGCTCGAGTCATAATATGACCCGGAGTTCAGATGGATGATGTTCAAATGGAAATAAAACATACACATTAGCTAATATAGATCTAATTTGTATTCCCAAAATAGAATTATTGTAATGTAACAATGTAACACGATATACCGATAGTTTACAATATTTTTGTATTATTTTCTTAACAAATTTTAAATAGTAAAATGAGTATTCTATTTGAGTCTTATCCTTTTTTTTCTTTGCTTGTTTTATTATTCTTCTACACTAATATATATATATATATATATATATATATATATATATATATTTGTTTTGTTTGACTTTTTAATTAAAATCAAATTAGATGAATTATATGTATCAATTAAACAAAAATTATACGGAGTAATGTACTCTCTCTATCCAACAATAAATTTTCCAGTTGCTATTATGGCTTATCAAAAACTTGGGTTTGTTTGCATATTTTCATCAATGATTAAATAAGATAAAACATTCTTGCCGCCTCTTATTTTGCAGATTTTTTGATGTAGTTTTGAACAATATAATTTATACTTTTTAATTATATACCAATTTAGCATGTTATTCAAAATGAGAAGTTTATTGTTGGGCAGATGGAGTATATTAGTATAAAAAAGATTTTATTAAATTTATCTTGTGGATAGTTTTCAAAGTTTTGCTGTATTATACAAACATGCATAAAATTGCTCCGAGAACCCAATTTTTGGTAGTACCCTCAGGTCTCACATTATCTGAAATACACTTCAAGGTATTCTCGATTTTTTGGTAACAATTCTTAGGCGTTGCACTACTCTAGGGTACTCTAGATTATATTATTTTAGATAATGTGGGATCTGAGTGTTATTATTAGATATTGAGGGTACCCTGGAGTAATAGTTAAACTCGATAAATACATTAGACGTCTAGTTTATTCGTCTAATTTGAATTTTTGAGTAAAACTAGATAAATTTTGGATCTCAATTAAATAAAAGACATAATGTATAGTACAAAAATAATTTCATTAGATTATTATTGTTAAAAATTTCAAAACAACATTTCATTGTATTAATATATAACACAAATAAACAATAATTGATGATTAAAATTTATATAATTTGATTCAAAAAATGTTAAATTGAGCAAATACACTGTGAAGTGAAATAGTATTAATAAAATAATATTGATGGGATAATATTTCATGTGCCTGTATGATAATGGGCCCGGCCCATTAGGGGGAGCTCGTTAGGAAAATCCTATCTCACTCTTATTCTACTATAAATAAGGTTGCAAGCCAATGACAAAAAGGGTCTCCGTCTACCATCTACAAACAAATTCATCTCTTATTCATCAACTTCTCCATAGAGATTCAAGCTCCATTAGTAGTTATCATGCAAATATACTATATAAATACTCACTGACTAGTAATAAATTAATCCATTGACATGGTACCCCTATAGTATATCTATGTTTTTTTTCTAATTTGTATTTCAACATAAATATCATGTGTTCTTTGTATTCATCATATTTATTAAGTCATTATGATAAAAGATTTTTTTACTGGTCGTTATGCACCAAAATTCTTGCTCAAAAAATGAAAGTTATAGTTAGTGAAATTAATGGAAATGGGATGGAATGTGTGAAAAAGTAATAGAATGAGTATAGTGGTGGAAATAAAGGATGTCGTATCCATGGAGATAGCGTTATTGGTTATGAATTGAGTCAACGTGGAACTAAATATTAATATCAAATTGTTAAATGTGAATGAAGGCCGAAAAGAAAGAGAAGTGATTATATGCAAGTGAATGAACTAAACTAATGCAACAAACAATACTAAAATGAAATGTAAGAAAAAAGGAAAGCAAGTCTAGGTTAAGAATTTCCATATCAGTCATGTTATTGCCAAAGGGACAGAGGAACAAGAGAAATCAACTAGAATGCGAGCAAATCATCCTAATTTCATTTCTGTGAAAATCGTGAAAGAATCCTCTAGAGAAGAACCAACTTCCATGGTGCTCCTCTCAAGAGAACTACAAACACATCAAATAAGCTCCTCAAGTATCCTCCACTTCCGTGGTAGGACTTTAGGGTAGAGACATACGGGAAGAGTTCTAAATTTTCATTTCTCGGTTATTTAGAATCCACTCCGGAATGCAAGAATGCCATTGCAGCCAACAACAACACCCAAGCTGCCAAACATAGATATAACATCGTCTATACAAACAGCCTAGAGCAATATCTCATTTTCACCACAATCCTATGAAAAAGAGCACAAATTAGCAATTTATCCCTAACCCAGGCTAGAAAATTTAGCAGGGGCTTAAACTAAAGAGATGCATAAGGACGTGTGAATACGGGAATTTCAAGATAAATGTTGGAGAATTATTACAAGACATGAACAAACGGTTCAACCCCATCATCAATAACTTGAGTAAGTTTTATAAAGTTTATCCTAAGAGTGAGATAAATACTAAAATCATTTTTTCATTACTTAGAGAATGACATAGTTCAGTGGTAAATTTGCTACCCAAATGTGCGGATGTTGAAACATCCTCCATTTGGAGTAGCCTATATTCTCATGAGCTTCTTTTAAGAAAAATGAAGGAAGAAGAACAAGTTCTCATCATTAAGAAGATCATGGGACTCAAGATTGATGATCACTCGAAAAGCGAGGAAGAAAGTAATGAGGAGCTTGCCATGTTCAAAAGATACAAGAAGTTCATCAAATGGAACCAAGGTGATTCCTTAGAAAAATTTCCACCAAATAAAGGTAAATCCAACTAAATCACTTGCTATGAATGTGGTAATGTAGGGCACATCAAACTGGAATGCCCAAAGCTCAAAAAGAAGGAAGAGATAAAGAAAGGGAAAAAGAAGACATTAAAGGTCACTTGGGACGATTTGAACTCGGACATAAGCGATAATGACCAAATCCAAGAAGAGAATGCAAATGCTTGCTTCGTGGAATCAAATGATGGAGAAGATGTTATTTCTCAAGATTCATTCACTTCATTTGACAACCAATTCACTTTTGAAGAGCGTTTGATGAGTGCCATGAGGGAGAAAAAGGAACTCAAGGCATCCTTTGAAGCATCTCAAGAAGAGAACAAACCTTTAAAAACCAAACTCGAAAAGCTTCAAGGGCAAAATGAAGATTTTCAAAGACATTTTGAAAACTTACTAATTGAAAAAGATAAGGCTAGAAAAGGAATTTTGGAAGTATTTTATAATAGCTACAACACTAAAATATTGTGGAATAACCAAAATCCAAAACTTTCGAAAGAAGGAATTGGTTTCGGTGACAATGAAAATTGGATGAGTGTAGTTAAAAACAAAATCAAAATTCCTTCATCAAACCAATCCTCAACTTCTAAATCAAAAGTAAAGGTGTGTCATTATTGCATGAAAACTAATCATATTGTGATAAAATGTCCAAATAAGAAATGAGTTCAAATGCAAAAATCAAAATAGATAGAGAAAGATTCTAACCAGTTGGAATCCAAGAAAGTTGGATATGAAAAACAAACCCATTTGCAGGAAAATAAAGGAAATAATGATGGATATTATTTCTTTTATTATGATGAAAATTGGAAGGTGCACATACCACTTTCAAATCCGACCAAGATAAAACCCGCCTACTGATATAGAGTCTTTGTGGATTGGATCTTGAAACCCTGATCAAAAGTTGATTCCTCTTTGACTAGGTGAAAAACACTACTTGGATAGTGGAAAGTGTGTTCTCAAGACACATGACCTGCACGAGACAATGGTTCACCAATCTCAAGAAGAAAATCCACACACATGTGACTCTTGGAGACAAAACAAGAAAAAAGGTGGTCGGTAAAGGTACGATTGATATCTCAAGTGATTTAACCATAAATGATATTTATCTTGTTGATGACCTAAAATTTAATTTAATTAGCATAAACCTACGACAAACATATTTTTTCCGAATGTATTACAATTGCTACATGTTTTCATGAAAATTTATCTAATCCATATTTGTACCCTGATGTGTATTCTATGAGGGATAAATAGTGTGCTTATTAATTATATATTCTTGATATTTATAAAAGTAGTATTATTTGTGTTCCACACTTTAAGATTGAGAATTTTAAAAATTCTCATAGAGTATTGTTATAATTGTGTTTTAGATGAAAATACTTATTTTTATAATCAATTAATACAATTGACAAAAGAAAGAGATAATGTTATTGATCTTTTTGAGTCATTATTTAAAGAATTTCAAGTTTTATATGGTACTTCACCGGAAGAAACAATAGCTTCTCCTGTTCCAAAAACAAAAAAGGATTTTAAAGTGATAGTCGGTGGCCTCTTGGTGAAACAGGTAAGCGTAACTCTGTATCAAGGCGCTCCATGCGGCTATGATGAATACAACGATAGCGAGTTCGACATCCTCGGATGGTGGAAGCGGAATGAACACATGTTCTTGTCACTCAAAATGCTAGCCAGACATGTGTTATCTATGTCAGTTTAAACTGTAGCTGTGAATCAAAAGTTCAGTTCTAGCGACAACATTCTAACCGACTACCGCAGTTGCCTTAGTGCTGAATCGCTTGATACACTTGTTGCCAACCGAGATTGGCTCTTGACATGACATCGAGCACAAGAGGTAGGGAACGACATTGATACACAAAATTATATGGATGCAACCACAGAGAGAAGTGGTAGTTCTGAGGAATAACTTTGTATCTTTTTTAAATTGTAGTTATTTTTTTAGGTGAGTAATTTATATGCTCCTTCGAAAAAATTTTACTGTTCTTAACTCGTCGCTTTTTTT